CACATGCTATTTCTGGAAAGACATCTCAAGGAACCCATGAGACTGGATGCATTTAGGGAGGGGAACTAACTGAATAAGTAGGCTGGGGAGGAGTCACTGTCTCATTCTTTGTACAGTTTGATTTTGAACCGTGTGATTATCCAAGAAAGAATTTTATTAAATAAACAAACAAAAAAACCTCACACTTCCTAGCATGACTCTTCTATTTACCAAAATTACCTTCCTTCTTTTTCCCTTCAACTTCATGATCTCTAATTATGTTTTACATCAACATCTACTGGGGGACAGTACAGGCTCTCAGAAAAGAGAAAGGCTGAAATAGAGTGCAGGAAGGGTTCTAATCTCAGTCATAGAACTTAATTTGTTTCAGGTTCTTCCCTGGTGGTGCAGGCAGTTGAGTGCAGCACAGTGCTGTGAAGCTGCCCGCAGCCTCTGCAGCATGGGTTCGATCCCTGCCAGTCAGGGAGATTCCCACATGGGGTGGCAGACCTCTCCTGCCTCCCCTGCTGCTCCCCTCAGCAGTGTACTTCAGTAGATCTGCCTGTTCTGCTCCCCGCTCTGTCTCTGGTGAATCCTCTCACCCTCCCATGCATCTGGCCTGTACCCTGGTTCTTATATGCATGAATAAATAAATAAATCTTTAAAAAAAAAAGAACTTAATTTGTTTCAAATAACAAAATATTAGATTTTAAAAATAATTTACTTTAAAAATTAGATCAGAAGCTAGTATTTTTATTATTTTTTTTTCTTTCAGCACTTTTTTTTAAAGATTTTATTTATTTATACAAGCACTAGGTACAGTCAGAAGCGCGGGAGAGTAAGAGAATTCACCAGAGCCAGAGTGGAGCGCAGAGCAGAGCAGGCAGACTGATGAAGTACACTGCTGAGGGGAACAGCGGGTGGCAGGAAAGGTCTGCGCGCCATGTTGGACCCTCACCCGGTGGCCAGGGATCTAACCGGCGTTGCAGAGGCTGCGGGCAGCTTCGCAACCCAGCGCTCAACCGCCGCTGTACCACTGGGGAGGCCCCAGAAACTAGTTTTATAAAACCTTTGCCTCTTAATTATTTTCACTATGCTTTCATGAGTTGAAGGGAAAGGAGTTGACCAGTGTGAATGCTTGGAGAGTTGTTCCCAGAGCTAGGGCTGCAAATAGTGGGTGCTGAGCATGTGAACACCATCCATCATTATGATTATAGCAGAAAAGATGCTGAACACCAGTGATGGTCTCAGGTAATAAGAAAACTGTGACTGTCTTGAATCAAAGCACAGTGACCCTTGAACAACACAGGTTTGAAGAACATGGGTCCACTTGCATGTAGATTTTCTTGTAAACATATAATGTAAACTTAGGATTTGATACATATAGCACAGCATGTAAATACCGTCTCTTCCTTATGATTTTCTTTTTTTTTTTTTTTATTTATAGAGGCATGTTTTATTTATTTATTTGTTTGTTTGTTTGTTTTGTTTATACATGCACTGGGTACAGTCAGAAGCGCGGGAGGGTGAGAGAATTCACCAGAGCCAGAGCGGGGAGCAGAGCAGGCAGAAGGACCGAAGTACACTGCTGAGGGGAGCAGCGGGCGGCAGGAGAGGTCTGCGCGCCATGTGGGACCCTCCTCCGGTGGCCGGGGAGCAGCCGGGGATCGAACCGGCGCTGCAGAGGCCGCGGGCAGCCTCACAACCCAGCGCTCAACCGCTGCACCACCAGGGAGGCCCTCCTTATGATTTTCTTAATAACATTTCCTTTTCTCTAACTTACTTACTTTATTTATTATTATTATTTTTTAAAGATTTATTCATTTATACAAGAACTGGGGTACAGGCCAGAGGTGCAGGAGGGTGAGAGAATTCACCAGAGACAGAGTGGGGAGCAGAACAGGCAGACAGACCAAGGACACTGCTGAAGGGAGCAGCGGGCAAGGCAGGAGAGGTCTGCAGCACCATGTGGGTTGCTCCCTGGCCAGCCGGAATCAAACCAGTGCTGCAGAGGCTGTGGACAGCTACATAGCGCTGCGCTCAACCCACTGCGCCACAGGGGAGTCCCTCTAGCTTACTTTATTATAAGAATACAATATAGTATTCATTTAACATACAAAATATGTATTAATCAACTGTTTATGTTCTCCACAAGGTTTCCAGGCAACTGCAGGTCATTAGCAAGTTAGTTTTAGGGAAATCATAGTTATATTCAGATTTTCAACTTCATTGGGGGTCAGGGAGGTGCCCCTAAATGCCTTTGCTGTTCAAGGATCAACTGTAATTCCAAATGTAGTTCTTTACTTGTCACATTTTGGTAAGCAAAATAAATCCTAAGGGAAAGTAACAGAGACTAATATTTCTGCTAAAGTAGATGATTCATTCAGCAAATTTATTGTAGCTAAAATAAACTATGAAGTCATTCATTTAATGTGTGATTGTGTAATCTTTCATCTTACAGGTAAGGATTTGGAAGTATTAAAATTCAAAGTATTTGTAAAAAGGGTATGACATAATTATCACACTACAGTAAAATCCAAATTAATTTAGAATAAATTTAAACATTTTATAAACAATACACATACACAATAAGAAAATTAGAAAACATAGAATGCACAAGGAAGAAAATAAAAATCACAGAATCTCAATCTGTTTGGCATATATCTTTTCAGAGCTTATGTGAATGTTGGATACAAACATGAAATACATTTTGACAATAAGGCTGTTTTGTTTCAAGGACAACAGTTGATTATAAATTGTTAAATTAGAGATTGTTCCCTAAAACATAGTATTCAAACAGCCCTGTTGTGGGAGTAACAGAGCAGAGGGTCCTCTTCCTTTCCTTTAACATTCCTTAAGCCAGAGTCCCTGAATCTTGAAGGGATCTTGAAGTCCCAAAATGACTGGTCCCACGACAATGGTGTCAACACACTGCCACGGCCAGTTAAAGTGGGGAGTGGGATGGGAACCCATGCAGTCTGCAGCCTCCGTATTCTCAACCACTATTTTATTTACTTTCAATTATCTACATCTTATGATTTTTGATAATCTGACAGATAAAAAGATAGTCTCACTGCAGTTGTGAGTGTGTGTGAGTGTGATTCCAGCTGGTTTCTTTTTTTAACTGAGGTAACTAATTTACAATACTGTATAGATCTCAGGTGTGTATAGTTTCTCACCTTAGCAGCTGTACAAATCACACCATGCTCACCACCAAATGTCCATACTTTTTTCCTCCCTCTGCCTTTTCTCCCTCTGGTAACCACCATTTTGTTGTCAGAGACTAAGGGCTTGTTTTTGTTTGTTCATTCTTGGGCCTACCCGTCCTACTCACTGTAGGGTTTTTTTTTAATGATTTTTAAAAAAATATTTATTTATTTATGCATACAAGAACTGGGGTAGAGGCCAGAGGTGTGGGAGGTGAGAGGATTCACCAGAGACAGAGCGGGGAACAGAACAGGCAGATAGACTGAAGTACACTGCTGAGGGGAGCAGCGGGTGAGTCAGGAGAGGTCTGCTGCACCATGTGGGTAGCTTCATAGCTGGGGATTGAACTCACGCTGCAAAGGCTCGCGCTGCAAAGGCTGCGTGCGAACAGCTTCACAGTGCTGCGCTCAAGCCCGTGTGCCACCAGGGAGGCCCCTCACTGTAGTTTTAATTTGCATTTCTCTTAGCAACAATGAGGTTGAACACCTTTTTCTACGTTAAAAAGCCATATTATTTTCTTACTTATGATTTAAACCTCTGTCCATTCTTCACTTGGATTAACAGTCTTTTTATTTTTAAATTCATAGGAGTTCTTGAACTATTAAAGAAAATCAATCTGTCTCTGTTGCAAATATTTTTTCACCTACTTCGTCATTGTCTTTAGATTTTATCATATGCCTAAATCTCTGTATTTTTGGAAACATCATTCAAATATTTCCTTACTGTTAACTTTTCAATATAGTTCTGGCTCTTTTATGCCTTGGATCATTCTAGAAGAGGGGATGAGGGATGCCTCATTACACCAGAGTCACTCTCCCAGCTTGGCCACAGTAGTTCAATGGCAGCTATGATTTCTCTTCTATCCAACAGGAGCTAGGTGACTAGGGAAGTGATCCCAGAAAGGGAATGGAAATACAATTTCCTGAAGTTATTATCCCCCTCTCTTTTCTATAAGAAACAGCAATAAAACTCTGCAAGAAGGATTTGAAGAAACATTCACTTTTTCATTTTGTGGTGGTTGTTATTTACCATTTCAAAACATAGTAAACATAATTTTATCAGCAAAGCAAATATCTAATGTGGTTTTATATTCTTAACTACATAATAACTTTGAAATGGATAAAAAAATGAAAGCTGCATATTTTATATTTTCTGAAATTCCTCTCCTCACAAACTTATTTCCCTAGTTTCTAATTCCTAAATTTTGGCAATTTCACATTTCTAACCTGGACTCTCAAGAGTCCTATTAGCACTATTTTGTTCCTCTACTGTTGAATATGCCTTCCAATTTTTATTTAAATTATGTTTCACAATTTCAGTTTCTAATTCCTAAATTTTGGCAATTTCACATCTCTAACCTGGACTCTCAAGAGTCCTATTAGCACTATTTTGTTCCTCTACTGTTGAATATGCCTTCCAATTTTTATTTAAATTATGTTTCACAATTTCTATTCTGCTTCTGGCTATGAGGGTCACAGTATAAACATACACAGATAAAGTGTATCTATATACTAAGAAATGCCAGTGATTTTACATCATTATATAGAACTTTAGTTTCTATATGACAGTTCAACTGTCTATGAAAGAAGCAGAACCACAGTTCCCTTTTTGCACTTTACAGATACGTTTATGTATGATGACTTTCTCAGTAGTGTAAGCAGCATTTTTATAAATGCGCAAATATTTTCCATCATTAGGGAGACAACAGTTTTTGTATATACAAATTATAAGGGTGCTATTTTAGCAAAAGTTTTCCTTCACATCATAAAAATGTGAAAAACATATTATCAATCTACTTTGTAATTAACATTTACCTGTGACATGCTGGCATCTGATTCCTCCTCCTGCCAGCTCATGTATGGCAGAAGATCTACATCTTCTTTGGCAATAAGTTCCAAAATATTTGGAATATTAGAAGACAGTAACTCATTGCCATCCTACATTGAATCACAGGTAAAAACAAAACAGAGATCATGTTAATTGATTACTAAACATTCTAAAGCCTTGTGAATGTTTGTTTTGGGCTGTATTTGGGGGTAAGATGTGATTATGTATCCTAGGCCACAGAGTAAGAGGAGAGGAAACAGTTATGGTTCTACTTTTAAACTTCTGAAGGCGAATGGGCCTTGGCGAGGGCAAAGGAAGTCCAGGCTTGGATTAATAAGAGATGCAAAATGCCAAAAATGTAACAAAATTGTACATCTCTTAAAAAAAGCACATGTAGCTAATAACTAACTATAACATTAAAAACAGTAACACATTTAACTCATTTTGAGATCCTTGAGTCCTAATGCTGAGGCTAGAGCCATGGCTGACTAGCCTCTCGACCCCACTCTTGATGAGTCTCAAGTGTAGGTAAGAGTAATTTTCTTAGTATGTAAATATAAATAAGGTAACAGTGAATTGACAATAATACATACCCTTTTCTCAACAGCCACAAAGCTTGTAAATTGTGTTATGAGAGAGTTTTCTTTACTGAGTTCAATGATCAGAGATTTTAAAATCTGCTTTTTCATCTAGGAGAGAATAAAATAAATGAAGTCATGCCCTGCTTTATTTTTTCACTGTTTACTAACTGTGACCAATTAAACAAGTGTTAAATCATCTAAAAAATATTTTTATAAAAAGAAAATCATTTTGTTTTTCAAACTAAATATTGACGTTGGTGGCCCTCTTAAGTATCTTGAGTAGGAAATTCAACATTCCTTGCTAAATGGGACCAACTGACAAACTACTCTGTAGATAGAATAATTCATATGTACATAGCTCTTCATAGTTGACAAAGAACTCTCAAATTTCAAGGGTTTTGGCAATGTTTTAATGATGAAGAACCTGAAGCAGTGAGAGGTGACAAGTACTGGTGCCCTTGGAGATTAAAGGGTCTCAAGCAAAACAGAACATGACAGAAGCTAATCCAAGGGTGGTGAAGGAGAAGAGTGAAAGCACAGGCCATTTACCACAGCATCGTGTCAATGACTGCGTGCTACAGGGTACCTTCTTTTTGGTAGGGCTCTGAGTACTCATGTCCCTCTGACCCTAGGCTTGGTGAGGATCCTCTGTCAGGGGCCTCAAGGCTTTGGCTCTGCTGTGTCTCTTCAGGAAGGTCACCCACCTGTCCTACACCTGAGCTTCTTCAGCAGTGGCAGGGAATACAAATGCCTACAACATATGAGATCTGAAGTCACGTCTATCACAGATACCCAGCAAAGGTTCTCTGAGCCCACATATAGTATCTCCCTGATGGGTAAATTATCACAGATTTCTCTAGAAGCTACTCACATTTCTGTTTCTGCTAATTCATTCAACAAACATTTAAGGAGCACCCTGTGCCCCAGACACAGAAAACACAGATACAGACATGAGCGCCCCTGACTGACACAGCCTGCTTCTTCATCTAGCTCTCCTCACATTGTTTCTATGGATTAATCAATTTTAAGAAGGAATAAAAACAACATGCAATGTTTTTGCTATGAAAAGAACTGACCTCGTGATTTGTTTCATCTTCATGGAGAATGCCTTCTTCATAGTCTCTGATCAGGGCTCGTGCTGTCAGCTTATGAATCATCTGTGTTGAAGCAGCAAAGGAAAAATATTCATAAAGATTTTTTAAAAAAAATTTTATTTATACAATAGCTGGGGTACAGGACGGAGGTGCAGAAGGGTGAGAGGATTCACCAGAGACAGAGTGGGGAGCAGAACAGGCAGACAGACCCAAGACAATGCTGAGGGGAGCAGCAGGCAAGACAGGAGAGGTCTGCCGCGCCATGTGGGAATCTCCCTGGACAGCCGGGAATCGAACCTGCACTGCAGAGCCTGCGGACAGCTTCACAGTGCTGTGCTCAACCCGCTGCGCCACGGGGGAGGCCCCGGAAATATTTTCAAATGCTTCTCATTAAGTCTTACATGGAAAACCACTATCTAAATTGAGGTATACTTTACATACAGCAAAATTCACACTTTTGAAGTGTGAAGTTTGATGAGAGCTAAGGAATGTGTACAGTTGTGTGATTATCACTGAAATCAACACACAGCAGTGCCCTCACTTTATAACGTTCCCACATATTCCCCCGCAGCCCCCAGCCAATAGCATCTATTTTCTGTCCCTACAGTTTACCTTTTTGTAGGGAAAGGTAAAAGTATCAGGCTTTTCTGCCCTCCGCCATTAGGACGGATGACGGAACCCTGTGGTCCCGAATGCATGCCTGATGGTGGGCATAGGTAGATGGGATTCACCTGGGCTAAGACTGGGCTTTTAAGGGTGGCGTCATGGGGACGCCAGAGAAGAAGCCAAGACAGAAGTAGAAGAAGCCAAGAGAAGAGAAGCAGTAGAAGCAGAAGCAGAACCACAAGAGAGCAGAGCAGCAGAGATCACCAGAGAGCCCAGACAGAGTGAAGACTTGCTGGGGGCTGGAAGGCCTGCCAGCCTCTCGGCCCCCCAGCACCCTTGCTTGCTGTATACCTGGTTGTAAAGTCAGGAACAGGGCACAGTGCAGGTTTTCTGATCCCATGCAGACCAGGTAAAGGAGGAGTCAGAGTCCTCAGTGGTTTTTTGCAGGTCTTTTATTGGGGTTCACCAGGCATATGGCAGGCAGGGGTGCTGGCTGGGGGGCTGGGAGGCCAGCAAGTCTTCACTCTATCTGGGCTCTCTGGCGTTCGTTCTGCTGCTTCTCGGCTTCTGCTGGCGTCCCCGTGACGCCGCCCTTAAAAGCCCAGTCTCAGCCCAGGTGAATCCCATCTACCTATGCCCACACCCTACTCCAGGTGCCCGCCATCAGGCATGCATTCAGGATAAGGATCCATCATCTATCCTGATGGCGGGAGGGCAGAAAAGCCTGACATTTTCTTTACCCTACACTGGTAAATCCCAATAAAAGCCTGAAAAGCCAATGAAGTCTCCAGGACTCTCCTATCCTCCTTTACTCAGTGTAGGGTAAGGAAAAAATCAGGCTTTTCTGCCCTTCCGCCATCAGGATAGATGATGGATCCTTGCGGTCCTGAATGCATGCCTGATGGCGGGCACCTGGAATAGGGTGTGGGCATAGGTAGATGGGATTCACCTGGGCTGAGACTGGGCTTTTAAGGTCGGCGTCACGGGGACACCAGCAGAAGCCAAAAGAGAAGCCGAGAACGAACAGAAGCTGAGAGAGAAGGCCAGAGAGCCCAGATAGAGTGAAGACCTGCTGGGGGCTGGGAGGCCTGCCAGCCTACCGGCCCCCCAACGCTCCTGCCTGCCGTGTACCTGGTAATCCCAATAAAAGCCTGCAAAAAACCACTGAGGACTCTGACTCCGCCTTTACCTGGTCTGCTGGATCATAGAAAACCTGCACCGTGTCCATGCTGCATGTACAATTGGCGTAAGTTGGCAAGATGATCCATGCAGACGGGTATGGAGCCCTCCAAAGACCTGTAGGGACTAAGGAATAGCAGACTGAGCCTGTGCCTGTGCTGGAGGCGTCATGGCAGCACAGAAGGTGGATAAGTTCTGGGAGCTATGGGATAAGACCTCGCCTGGAGGAGGAGGAGACGCCAGAGAGGACCAGCCAAAGACCCCTGAGGCAGCAAGAATCATCGGAAGAGAGAACCACGATTCGGAGCTCGCCAGTGCTGATGCAGGGAGAGGTCAACAGACTTGGACTAATGGACTTGGACTGACAATCCTGACAGAAGGAGGTGGACCTTGGCAGGTTATGTTTTTTTGAGAATCTGGGGGTGGCTGGTGGGCCTTGATGGCCAAAAGCAGCCTGTGTATGCCCAGCAGCTAGGCAGAGGAGAAAAGCCAACTGAGAAGGCAAAAGCTGGTGCTGATGCTAAGTTTGGGAAGCCCTGAGCGGCTGTTAAGCACTGTGTAAGCTGAGGAAGACCAGTGAGTCTCGTAAAATCAACTGTGGGTGATGCCCTGCTCGTTGTCGAGTGAGGGTGAGGAGCTGAGGAACCCGTCCTTGGGGGACGGGTGGGGAACGTGGCTTGGGGTGGAGCCCAAGCCGAATGCAGAGTTTGGATCCAAGGATCCCCAACCCATGTGCTTGTGCAGTGGGTTGGCCTGAGTGCAGGGGTGGCTTTGAAAGCCGAATGTTGGAGCGACTGCAGACAGAAACCCTGAGGGTTGGCGATTAACCCCAACAGTATAGAATTGCCAATCCCAGAGTGAGTGCCTCCTGGGGGTGGATGTGGTGTGTGGCTTGTAGCCGAGACTACAGCCAGAGAAGGCCAGGAAGCCTGACGGCTCCTAGTGTGTTATAGTAGATGCCATGAGTGGTTCCCCTCCCTCGTATGAGCAGTGCCTTCGGCAGCAGATTTGGTGGCTCATCTGCTGGTACCCATAATTGTCTTTTGCCACTAGGTTGGGGCTCTGCCTGGACTTATTTGTGTTCTGTTGTATTTTGTTGTTATATTGTAATGTATTTGCTTTTGTGGGCCATGGGTGCATTGTTTATGTTTGCCAAGAAAATTGTATATATGAAGACTATGGCAGAAAACCCTGAGGGGGTGGAATGTACGGTAAGGAAAAATGTCAGGCTTTCCGCCCTCTTGCCATCAGGATAGATGATGGATCCTTGCGGTCCTGAATGCATGCCTGATGGCAGGCACCTGGAATAAGGTGTGGGCATAGGTAGATGGGATTCACTTGGGCTGAGACTGGGATGAGACTGGGCTTTTAAGGGCGGCGTCACAGGGACGCCAGCAGAAGCCGAAAGAGAAGCCGAGAATGAACAGAAGCCGAAAGAGAAGACCTGCTGGGGGCTGGGAGGCCTGCCAGCCTACTGGCCGCCCAGCGCCCCTGCCTGCCGTGTACCTGGTAATCCCAATAAAAGCCTGCAAAAAACCTCTGACTCCTCCTTTATCTGGTCTGCTGGATCATAGAAAACCTGCACCGTGCCCATCCTGCCCCTACACCGGGTCTGCTGGATTAGAAAACCTGCACTGTGTCCTTCCTGCCCTTACACTTTTCTAGAAAGACCACTTTGCCAATTCAATTATTTGAAACATGGTAAACTGCCTTCTACTGTAGTAAGAGCCAGCTTCATGCTGGGATGCCCAGAGTGGGGGTGTCCTCTATGAGAGGCAAGAGCACAGGGCTCTGGGTTTCCCTTCTTTTCACTCTAATGAAACAGATCTTAACTAGCCATGTGTGCTTTCCAATAATTCCAGTTCTGCAGTTTGTTATTGATAGAGCCAGAGAAGAAGTACAACTTCAAAAACTAATTTTATTGAAAAACACGTCTTTCTGAGCACCTGCACCCCTATGTTTATAGCAGTACTATTTACAATAGCTAAGCTTTGGAAACAACCCAAATGCCCAAAAATAGATGACTGGATCAAGAAGATGTGGTACAAATATACCATGGAATATTACTCAGCATTCAAAAAAGATAAACACATGCAATTTGCAGCAACATGGATGGCGCTGGAAGGGATCATGCTCAGCGAAATAAGCCAAAAAGAAAAAGAAAAATACCGGATGGTCTCACTCATAGCAGGAATCTAGAAAACTTAAATAAGGGACCAGGAAAATGAATAACTATAAGAAAGTGAAAATCAAAATCAACAAAAAACTATGAATCAGAGACACTCTATGGGGGGTAGAGGGCGGGAGGGGAGGGATTGGGGTCAAAATAAGGGGGTTGCAATTGTATGGGGAATATAAAAATAAAATTTATTAAAAAAAAAAACACCTCTTTCCAGGTAAAATCATGTCACTTTACCCCATCTATTTAAGCTTTAAACTAATATGGAGATTCCCTTAAGTTATAGACATGTCACTGGCAAGTAAATAGTAAAAATTATTGATTCAGCTCCAAAACTTAAGCCATATTTTATTTAAAATAAAAAGGTAGTGTAAGGTAAGTAAAGTATCAGGTTTTCCTGCCCTCCAGCCATTAGGATTAATGATGGAACCCTGGGGTCCTGAATGCATGCCTGATAGCGGGCACCTGGAGTAGGGTGTGGGCATACATAGGGGGTACACCTGGGCTGAGAGACTGAGTGAGCTTATTAGGGCGGCAGCATGGGGACGCTGGCAGAGAATGGAACAGCAGAACCACGGGAAGAGTGAAAGACCAGAAAGAAAACAGAACCAGCAGAGAAGCAGAAGCCACGAGAGATTGCCAAAGAGGCCAGAAAGAGTGAAGATTCGGGCCTCCCTGGTGGCGTAGGCGGTTGAGTGCAGCGCTGTGAAGCTGTCCGCAGCCTCTGCAGTGCCAGTTCGATCCCCATAGGCCGTGTAGATACCCACATGGCGTGGCAGACCTCTCCTATCTCGCCCGCTGCTCCCCTCAGCAGTGTATTTCAGTCAGTTCCCTACTCTGTCTTTGGTGAATCCTCTCACCCTCCCTCACATCTGGTTCTTGTATAAATAAATCTTAAAAAAAACAAACAGGGCCTCCCCAGTGGCGCAGTGGGTTGAGTGCCATGCTGTGAAGCTGTCCGTAGCCTCTGCAGTGCAGGTTCGATTCCCGGACGGCCAGGGAGAAACCCACATGGCGTGGCAGACCTCTCCTGCCTCACCTGCTGCTTCCCTCAGCAGTGTCTTTGGTCCGTCTGCCCGCTCTGTCTGTGGTGAATTCTCTCACCCTCCCGCACCTCTGACCTGTGCCCCAGCTCGTGCATAAATAAAATCTTAAAAACAAAACAAAACCGTAGAGCAATGTTGCTCTTCACCAAAAAAAAAAAAAAAAAAAAAAAAGTGAAGATTCGCCAGGGGCTGGGAGGACTGCCAGCCTCCCGGCCCCCATGCCTGCCATGCTCCTGGTAAACTCAGTAAAAGCCTAAAAAAGCCACCGAGGGCTCCTAGGACTCTCCTTTAACCCGGCTGCTCAGGTCATAAAGATCCTGCACTGTGCCCTTCCTGCCTCTACAGGTAGCAATGTCTGATAATGGTTTATCTGCTTATACAAATACTCCTATGAATAGTAAGCTACATATACAGCAAGTGAGGGTGGTGGCTGTGATTGAAGGGTTGGAACTTCTTGTCTTGTCTCACTTTCCTTAGGGGTGAGAGGTGATGGAGTGGGAGGTTACATTCAATTGCTAAAGGTCAGTGATTTAATCAATCATGTCTGGGTAAGAACCCACAGGAACCCAAAGAGAAGGGCTTGGGAGAACTGCGATCATTTGTATATCTGGGGAGAATGGCACACCTGGGCAAGGCATAGAGGCTCCATGCCCTTTTCCTACTCCTCACCCCATATATCTCTATGTGGCTGTTGGTGATAAATAACAATTATAGTAAATCAGTGATTTAATGAGTAAACTAGTTTCCTGATTTCTGTAAGCTGCTCCCCCCCACCCCCGAGGAGGGGGTAGTGGTCAGAAGCACAGGTAATAGCAATGAGGAGCTGAAGTAGAAGGTGGTTTTGGAAGACTGAGCCCTTAACCTATGAAATCTGATGCTATCTTTGGGTAAAGACTGTCAGAATTGAGTTGAATTCTCAGGTGGATTTGCTTGTTGGCGTGAGGAACAATCATGTTGGAATTGAGACCAGGGACCTCTCTAGCTTTTAATCAAAAAGTAGAAAAATTAAACACATCCCTAATATATGATAGGATTGATTCTTAGTACTTACTATTTTATTTTTTTTTAAGATTTTTACTTATGCATACAAGAACTAAGGTGTAGGCCAGAGATGCGAGGGGTGAGAGGATTCACAAGAGATGCAGTGGGGAGCAGGACAGGGAGATCTACTGAAATACACTGCTGAGGGGAAGCAGAGGGCGAGACATAAGAGGTCTGGTGCGCCATGTGGATAGCTCCCTGGCTGGGGAGTGAACTTATGCCGCAGTGGCTGGTGACAGCTTGATAGTGCTGAGACTTTAACCCTACAGGGAGGTCCCCAGTACTTAGTATTTTTAAATAACGCAGGTAAACCAGTGGCACTTAACTTTTATTGAGTCATGAGCACAATTGAGTATCCCCCTAAAAATTTTTCACACATAAAATACTATATTTAATTGCAATTATTCATACCCAATATGCCCAAATGATATACCTAGATGCAAGAACCCCAAAAGAAAAGTGCTACATTATGAAACTGAAAACTGAGAGAAAATCCTCCACATAATATCATTGTAAGGAACATGGGATACTCAGGCTCTTTTTCCCCTCCTGTTGCCAGCCTCTACAGTCGCCACCTGTGGCCTTGCTTTCTACCCAGGTTTCATTACCCACACATGGTATCATGTGATTGCAAAAGGTGCTTGGGAGTGTGAGTGTGGGGAATGCACACACATGATCAGGGACAACAGGATGGAGAAGCCAGTGAGCATGGGCGTGTACATATGTAAATATGGACAGGGCCTCCCAGGTGGTGCAGCGGGATGAGCGCAGCACTGTGAAGCTGTCCGCAGCCTCTGCAGTGTGGGTTTAATTCCCGGCCAGCCAGGGAGATACCCACATGGCATGGCAGACCTCTCCTGTCTCACCCACTGCTCCCCTCAGCAACGTGTTTCAGTTGTTCTGCCCGTTTTGTTCCCCACTCTGTCTCTGGTGAATCCTCTCACTCTCCCGTGCTTCTGGCCTGTACCCCAGTTCTTGGAGAAAAAATAAATAAATAAATATGGACATCTGGGCGAGAAGCTAGGGATAAAGGGGAAATTCAGGGGGCTAGGGAGCTCAGTTGCTGCCTCCCTGCCTGCTGGTCTGCCTGTGTGTCTGGTTCCGATTCAGCATTAAAGGCATGTTAGAGATACCAAAGTTTCCAAAATTCTCTTTTCATCTACCTGAATCAACAATGAACCTGTGTGGTGTGGGATGGCTGCATCACAATGGTGTTCTGAAATATCAACACAGAAAAGCCACCACAACAAAGCAAGTACATGAAGCACTATATATGAAAATATTATTATAACCGTCCAACAATGATTCCATAGTTTAAGTGTCGATTCTTACTGTTCCTGTTGTCTTCTGAAGCTCAGTTGTCGATACCATTGTAGAAAATTCTTTCTCTTGGACTAATGCACATAAAGTTGCCTGAAATGGGGAAAAAAAAAAATCCCTATTAACTTTTCTGTTTCACAGCATGTAGATTAGTTTAACAAACTCAGTGATTTCCTCTTTTTAAAATTAAAAGTTTCCACATGTAGGGTAAGTAAAGTATCAGGTTTTTCTGCCCTCCCACCATTAGGATCGATGATGGATCCTTGTGGTCCTAAATGCATGCCTGATGGCGGGTACCTGGAGTAGGGTATGGGCATGCGTAGGTGGGTACACCTGGGCTGAGAGACTGGGCTCATAAAGGAGGTGTGACGGGACACCCGTGGAATGGAATCACCAGAAAAGAGAAGAGAACAAGGCCAGAATGAAAGAGAACCAGCAGAAGAGAGAGAACAAGACCACGAGAGAACGCCAGAGAGCCCAGAAAGAGTGAAGATTCGCTGGGGGCTAGGAGGCCTGCCAGCCGTGTACCTGGTAAAATGGCAATAAAAGCCTGAAAAGCCACCGAGGGCTCCTAGAATTCCTCCTTCACCTGTCTGTGTAGGATCATAGAGATCCTGCTCTATGCTCATCCTACTACTATACCATAGAACCCCTGACTAATCATCCAGCCACGTTCCAAGGATAAAATTTGTCAGCAGATTATGATTTGGAGGGGAGGAGTGAGGGGAACAAAAAAAGGAAAGAAAATAATTAGCAAAATACATTGCTCTTTCCTAGGAAAGCAAATTGTGTCCTCCTTACCTGGGTGCAGTGAGGAATCAGTCCATAGACCAGGAGCCGGTCATTGTGGAACAGGGACCGCACCTGGACCGGGGCCTGCAGGGGCTCGGGGGCATCTGTGCTTAGCTGTTGCCATTTGATGGAGACAGAGTGACAACTTGGAGATCGTAACCTAGTTATTTGGTCTTCTATCTATTTATAAAAGGGGAATGATTTTTTTTAAATGTTATATACAGAAAATAATTACTTAACACTTAAACTGTATATTCTATCCTATCTATCTGTAACTTTTTTTCTTCCTTCTTGCTAGAAGATATTTTTCCAAAAAAGATTTAAAATAGAAAATTTAGTAGTAGCACTACCACAAAATGTAGATTTAGAAAACATCCTAAAATTATTCCACAGTAGCTAATTACTAATTCCTGCTTTGGTATGGAGTAGGTTCTAGTTGTAAAAATTAATCCTACCAAGGATTTGAATAGATACCTCTCCAAACAAGATAAACAGCCAACATGTACTTGAAAAGAAGCTCAATATCATTAGCAACTAGAGAAATGCAAATCAAAACCCAAAGAAATACAATTTCACTCCCATTAAATGTGAGGTATAATTTACATACAAAAGTGATAAACAACATGTGGCATATACATTAAAAAGGAAGAAATTTCTGATATATGCTACAACATGGATACACCTTGAAAATATTATGTCAGGTGAAATACGACAGGCACAAATGGACAGATACTGTATAATTCCACTGATAAGAGGTATCTAAGGTAGTCGAACTCATAGACACAGAAAGTAGAATGGTGGCTGCTGGGGCTGGAGGGAAGGAAAAGTGGAGGGGAAGGGGATGCTGGGGGGGGGAAGAGAATATTGGGGGGAGGGTAATATAGAGTTGTGAACTGGATACAAATTTCTGTCTGGGATGATAATAAAGTTCTGGAGATGGACAGTGGTGATGGTAGTTCAACGTTGTGAATGTGTTTAATGACATGAAATTGTACACTTAAAAAGGGGTAAAATTTATGTATATTTTGCCACATTAAAAAACTAATCCTGTAAGACACGTGTTATCCTTCACTTTAATCAATATGACGCTTTATAAAGTAGAAATCAAATAACTATAAAAATGACCCAATTGAGTATGTACTGTGTTCTTGCTAGGTGCAAGATAAACGGTACCTAAGGGCTGGAGGGATGCACACTTTTAGTACCTTTTGCCTCTTTCTAGTTTCCTTGCTCATTAATTAAAATCACAGAAATGACTATATTTGTAAGAAGATAATATTTCCACATATAAACATTAAAGACTAGAAATAAGATATTTGATAAATGTACCTGTTTTTTCCAACTGTGTTTGGATTTTGAGTTAAAATATTCAAATACTCCAGCACCACACTGGGACAATGTCCTTAAGATGTGATGATTTGCTGTAGAACTGATCACATTTCACATATTTAAATTTTCAAGAAATTTTAGAAACATTTCTGAAACAGTAACATGAAGTTAATATTGGCACAACTCAAACTCAATAGAAAAGACATTACATGAAGAAGAATTTATTCTTCCACAGAGTTGTGAAAGAAATAAAACTTATGATAGGTAGTATGAATGTTTGGGGAATTTAAGCTCCCACATATAAGAGGACTTATTTCTATTTTATAATAGAAAAGAGCAGAAATTCTTAGCTTTCTGTTTATCAAAGGAGAGAGTAGATGATTCTGAAAAACTCCAAAAAGGCATAAGAATACTGATAAAAATATCAAGCCACTTTTAGTCAGTCACCCAAATCTGATCCTAAAGGTCAAGAACTGGCAAGTGAGTTAGTTAATAAAGTCCACATTTTCAAATTTGATAAACATTTAGATAGCAAAAGTTACAAAGAAGTAATTTTCACTCCAGTAAATGTTATCTCTGATATTTAACTGACAATGTCCTATTAAATTTCTCTGGCCTCCCTGGTGGCTCAGGGTTAAGACAGCACTATCAAGCTATGGCCAGCCACTGCAGCACGAGTTCTATGGCCGGCTGGCCAGGAAGTTGACCCATATGGCGCAGCAGACCTTTCCTGCCTCGCCTGCTGCTCCCCTCAGCAGTGCATTTCAGCAGCTCTGCCTGTTCTGCTCCCCACTCTCTCTGGTGAGTCTTCCGACCCCTCCCCCGTCCACACTACTGGCCTACACCCCAGCTCTTGTATGCATAAATAAATAAATCTTTAAAAAAATAAATTTCTCTCAATAAAAATTCTACAGTTGTTAAGAATGCCTTTCTTAGAGTTTCTTCCTTAAAAATGAAAGAAATCACTCCTTCACTTTGTCCTCCACCTGAGGCAGCTGCAACCTGAAGTCTAGTGAGCTGAGCAACATCAGCTTCAAGCAGGGTGGGGTGGGAGGTTAGATGGGAGGGATGGAGTGGAGGTTGGGGGCAGTTTCTGGGGCAGAGGGGGCAGGTTACTGGGGTTGGGGTGGGGCAGGTGGCTGCCCTCAGAAGACCATCAAATCATCTCCCCCAGATGCCTGGCAACATAACAGACAGGGCTTGTGGCCAGTGTGTATCCTCCATCACATGCCGACCTTGGCAAAGCTGCCAGAGAGATTTTCAACAAAGGATTTGGTTCAGGGTTGGTAAATGGGATGTGAAAACCAAGTGATGCAGTGGGATGGAACTCTCAACATGTAGTTCATAAGTTACTGGGACCTCGGAGACCAAATATAAATGGTGAGTTTGTTCAAAAATCAAATGCGGTAACACTTGGAACAGAATTTTCAACTGAAGACCAGAATTGTCAAGGTTTGAAACCAACATTGTCACCAAACACAGGGAAGAAAAAACAGTAAAATCAAGTCTTCTTATAAAAGGGAGTCTATAAATTTTGGTAGTGATGCTTTTACTGAACCAGCAATCCATGGCTCAGATGGCTTTGGTTATGAGGGCTGGTTTGCTGGTACCAGCTGACCTTTGATAGTACTCACTCAAAGCTGACAAAGACTAACTTTGCAGTGGGCTATAGGACCGGGGACTTCCAACTACATACTAATGTCAATGATGGGACAGAATTTGGAGCAGCAAGTTATTAGAAAGTATGTGAAGATCTTGACATTTCAGTAAACCTTGTTTGGACCTCAAGTACCAACTGCACTTGCTTTGGTACTGCAGCTAAATATCAGTTGGATCCCACTTCCATTTCATTTCTGTGATTTTAAATTAGAGTTCACAGCTCTAATTTAATTGGCATGGACTACACTTAGACTCTGAGGCCTGGTGTGACTTACACTGTCTGCTCTGGTAGATAGGAAGAACATGAATGTTGGAGCTCACAAACCTGCCCTGGAATTAGTTATCTACCTAGATATCAGCACCAAAGTTGTGTATATCACCCACACATTATTTAAATGTATTTAAGTATTAAAAACACTAGATACCAATAATGAAATAGACCTTTATGAAAATTATGCAATTGTGTGACTGCTTTTATGTTCCTTTTAACACTGAATATTGCCATTGAATGAGATAGAGCTTTGAATATTTTTAGATGAGGTTAATTTTTTTTTGTTAAATTCAAGCATCATTAGAATTACTTTAGGTATCCCCAAAAATTATAAATTATGAACAAAACAAGGGTATATAATTTAAAAAAGAATGAATTAAGTTTTCAAAAAAAATTTATTTCTGAAATGCTTTTGGTTTGTTAGATTGGATTCATCTTGAATTCTCAAAATTAACTGCCAATGATTACAATACTGATTAGAAAATCCTGAAGGCAGAGTTGATTTGTATGTTAGAGATCTCATTGGTCAGTGAGACCATGTGGATCTCAGGGGACAACCTCTAAGGCAGGATGAACAGTCTCTATTGGAGAATTCATGACATCTTGCTAGAGTTGATAAATACAAATGACTAGGTGTAAAATGGGGCAGGAACATTTAGAAAGATCTTAAAACCTTGACAGAATATTTGTAACAACTTCACCTGCCTCTGGCTGAGTCAATAGTCACCTCCCACCAAACCCTGTCACTTCCTTCACAGGAACCCCTTAATTTCCTCCCTGGACTTGGGCAAGCCCAGCCCTACCCAATATTGCTGTACATCTGTCTCCCCAGCAACACTGTCCCATGAGAGGCCCTCAGCAAAGAAGGATCAACAGGGGCCTATCCTATGCAGAGATGTGAACCCTAATCTGGCACAGCAGGCCCAGCACATGATAGAGGCATGGGAGAGAGGGAATGTCCCCAAGACAGGATGAGGGTAGGTTACCCCATGGCATGTTCAAGTTAACCAGGTAAAGTCTTCTTAGGGATAATTCCTGAGGGATCCTGTCATGGATTGGATAAACTCCTGGTTGGTCTGTGATGCCCAGATAAGCCTCACATTACAGAAAACATAGGACCTGTGACTGAAGACGAAGGGGAAAGAGAAAAGAATCCTCTGGGCAAGCAGGGTCCTCAAGGCCCTCTCCCCAGTCCAGCTCCTGGGACTAATAACCAAGGCCTGAGGAGGTTCATCAGCTGGCCTATGAACATAGCCTCTACTCAGCTTATGAATATGTTGATGGCAGGCTCCTGCCTTGCCTCAAACAGGGATGTCATTCGCTGGGATAATGACTGTGTGGGGGATTGCACAGAGAGTCTCGAGGACAGGGATGCTTTATTCAAAGACCAACCTGGCCCTTTCTGTTAAGTGTTTTCTTCATATTTTCACCTCAGTTCAATCCAAAAAAGTTAACTAAAATTGGAGAAGGGGCTAATTCCAACAATCATAGCATCTCAGTCTTCCTAAAGAAGGATTCTACATAGATCACAGAGATTGAAATGCAAATGCTCCCAGCATCCAGAAAGGTTATGAAGGAGCAAAGCAACCTGGGTAGAGATGCCTTGAAGTGGCAAGAACTCCTTAGTCCCTATCAAAATACATATTGTATATGTGTGCAGCACTGCCAGATCTTCAGGCTCCTCAGGATAAGTTGGAAACCTGTATTTTTTTTTTTTTAAAGATTTACTTATTTATGCATATAAGAACTGTGGTACAGGTCAGAGGTGGGGGTGGTGAGAGGATTCACTAGACACAGAATGAGGAAGAGAACAGGCAGACTGAAATACATTGCTGAGGGGAGCAGTGGGTGAGACAGAAGTTTGCTGCATCATGTGGGTAGCTCCCTGGCCAGCAGATGGATGGAATTCATGCTGCAGAGGCTGCAGATAGTTTCACAGTGCTGTGCTTAACCCCTTGCGCCACCAGGGGGCCCAGAAACCTGTATTTTTATGCACAATAATAATATCTAATACTGATTTGGTGCTTTCCTTGTGCCAGTTGTATTCTAAATGTTTTCTGCATATGAACTCATTTAATTCTCACAGCAAACCTACAAGGTTGGTATTTTCATTATCATCTTCATTTTACTGAAAAAAGGTTACACAACTTGTTTGAGGTCATAAGTGGTCAACTCAGGTTCTGAGACCCATGTGGTTTGGTCCAGAGCCCAGAACTTTGCATTTCTGCTCTAAATAGCTTTGATGGCGGGGAGGGGCTGGGAGAGGAAGCACTAGGGTCAAAATAAGGGGGGTGCAATTGTATGGGGAATATAACCAAAATGAAAATGCATACATTGTGCAAAAATGAAAAATGATGTATGAATTATAGAAAATAAAATATTAAAAAAAATAAATAGCTTTATATACTAATATTGTATTGAAGCTTCCATGTTTCCTGAGCAGGGTCTTCACTGGTGGCACACTTACCCAGTCCCACAGCAGAACAGCCTGGTGTGGTGCACGTTTCTCCTCACGAGCTGCAGGCTCAGGCCCATGTTCTGCAGGTGCCCATCGGATATAAGGAGGATGTTTCGAAACCCTTGAGAGGGGTACAGTAAGTTCAAATATCGGAGTGTTTTCCAGAAGTCTGTATTCCCCATGGTAGGTGTAGCTGACTGGAGGAAAAAAGAAAAAAAATTATTTACTACAATCCTTTCCAGGTATATTCACCAGTAACTGTTATTGCTTACCAAAGCAACTCCTTTATGAGGGTTTAGAGAAAGCAGCATGAAAAGATATTTTTTCCTAATTATAACTTTGTGGAGCAACTATATCCTTTTAGTTTATTTCACATCATATGGTAACTTAACATTATCAGTAGGCACTTCTTTGCTTTTCTATGTTTTGCTTTTGCTTTTTAGTGGTTTTCAAAAGAACATCAAAATGTTCCTGGGTTTGCCATCCTGTGGTGGACTGAGGTGGAAAATAGTCCTCTCATCTTGCTCCATTTTAGCAAAAAAGAAAAGAGAAGAAGGAGAAGAAGAAAACATTTCCAAATTATTAATGCTGGTTGTTTATGGTGGTAGTATGGTGGTGATTCTTTCTGTTCTTTTTAATTTCCAATTTTTCTTTAATGAGTTTCAATTGCTACTATTAAAGAAATAAAAGAGCTAGCCCACCAACATTCAAAAATGGAATGACTAGGGGGTCTGATGCTGATTTTGGGGAAGTCCTAGGAAGCACCACTAAAACTTGATAGGTAAAGACTTAGGAGACAAAGGAAAGTTCTCTTACTCACCATAATGAACTCAGCTGGTATATTATTGCTTGTGATGTACTTAGGATATGAAAATAACTCCTTGTAACCTGTGTAATAAGATTGGCATGAAGTGTTGTTATAAACTATTCACTTTATTGGCCACTAACAAAGTTTGATAATTTTGACATAAAAAATTCATCACAGTATTACTTTATGTAGTACTTCTGAGTGCATTCAAAGTAAGCACTTTACTGTGCAAAATGTTCTGTGTCAGATGATGGGTGTAGACTGTTGTTCTGTAGTAGGTGCCTCACGCAAAATAAGATGTGAACATCACAATAATACAACAGCCTAGTCGCAGGAAGAGTACATTCTCCTTCAAGTCCTTTGCACTCATGCTTATTGGACCTCTGCTCCCAGCAGCAGATCCTAGCTTCTAAGAGGCTGGGCCTCCTGCTGAATGGCAGAGAATCAACAGGACGTGATAGTCAACTCAATCCACTCTGGTCCTTGTCTCATTTCTTCCTTCTAGAGTCTCAGCTGTCCCTGGGCCTCCTCCTGGAGGATGGCATTATCTTTCTTCTAAAGGGGCTACTCTGATGCACCTGAGACCATTTCTTTCTTTCTTTTTTTTTTTTTAAAGATTTATTCATTTATTTATACAAGCACTGGGTACAGTCAGAAGCACGGGAGGGTGAAAGAACTCACCAGAGCCAGAACAGAGAGCAGAGCAGGCAGACTGACTAAGTACACTGCTGAGGGCAGCAGCAGGCATGGCAGGAGAGGTCTGTGCACCATCTGGGACCCTCACCCAGTGGCCAGGGATCGAACCGGCGCTGCAGAGGCTTCAGGCAGCTTTGCAACCCAGCGCTCAACCACTGTGCCACTGGGGAGGTCCACCTGAAACCATTTCTTACAGGTATTCTACAACCATTCTGATTTCAAATGTTTTGTCCTTCTATTTGGAACTCTCACACTCATCAGACCAAGGGTTTGGTTCTGTTGATAATAAAAACATAGTATTTATATCGCACATACTATGTAACAGACACAATTTTAAGTCCTTTACATAAATTATTGCAATCCTTACAGCAACGCTGTAAGAAAACTGAAGGATGAAAAGTTCTAGTAACTCGCTGTAGGATAAGTGATTATCAGGCTTTTCTGCCTTCTCGCCATTAGTATTAATGACGGATCCCTGTGGTCCTGAATGCATGCCTGATGGCGGGCACCTGGAGTGAGGTGTGTGCCTGCGTAGGTGGGTATACCTGGGCTGAGAATGGGCTTATAAGAGTGGTGTCCCAAGGAACAGAACGAGCAGAAGGACAATGAGAAGAAAGAGAAGCAGAAGAGAAAGAACAAGACCATGAGAGAACACCAGAGAGCCCAGAAAGAGTGAAGATTCGCTGGGGGCTAGGAGGACTGCCAGCCTCCTGACCCCCCGGAGCCCCTGCCTGCCTTGTACCTGGTAAAATGGCAATAAAAGCCTGAAAAGCCACCGAGGACTCCAGGTCCTCCCTTTACTTGTCTGCTAAGATCATAGAGATCCTGCTGCTCTGTGTCCTTTCTGGCCCTATATTGCCCAAGGTAACACCTAGAATTAGGATTTGTTCCAAGATCTATCTCCAGAGCTCTTGTTCTTAAACTCCATGCTATCACCTCTCACTCCACAGATGAGGTCAAGGGTACTGGCGGCCAGCAGTTCTACTCATGAATGTATTAAGAAGGAAGCATGCTCACCTGTGCCAAACTTGACAATGTTTATCTTCTCTTTCTTACCCACCAATGACAGTGCATGTAAGGCAATTCTCTTAGCTTGCAAGAACGTCACACCCTCCATTGAATTGGAGCAATCGAGACAAATAATCACTTCATTCTGCTCTACCACATCAGGGAGCATGACATCAAGATCTGGTTGAAAGACAAGCATGCAGGCCTGAAAAAGGAAAAAAGGTGCTGGATTTGTGTCCTCATAACTTAAGCTGGTCTAGTTTGTTTGTTTTTTTTGTACTATTTTATATGCTAAGAGATTGCAAATTTCTATCCCCAAATCTATCACACAATCTTTCCAAACACTGGACACATAATTAGGATAGAGTAACAGAATGAAGAGTAGCCCACTAAAAACTGATGAAAACCTCCTGGGTTCAGGCATACAGTTCTCACTAGATCTCAGAATGACTGGCCAAATAAATCTTATAAGCCTCAAAAATGGGAGAGACATAAACACACCAATGAACATATGCGTGTACTTCATTTAAAGCATACCCAATATACAGAAATCCAAGTTTACAGAAAAGGTGAATTTAAACGAGCTTATTCCTGATACTAAAAGGGTCCATCAGTGTACTATATAATCAATCTCACTTATATGTAGTATCTCAGAAAAGCTGAGCCCACAGAGAGAGAATTATAGTTGCCAGGAATGGGGGGTAAGGGTGTAGAATAAAGATATGTTGGTCATGCCTCCCTGGTGGCGCAGGTGGTTGAGCGCAGTACTGTGAAGCTATCTGCAGCCTCTGCAGTGCGGGTTTGATCCCAGCCAGCTGTAGGAGATACCTACATGGCGTGGCAGACCTCCCTGTCTTGCCCACTGCTCCCCCCAACAGTGTATTTCTGTCAGTCTGCCTGCTCTGTTCCCTGCTCTGTCTCTTGTGAATCCTCTCACCCTTTTGCACATCTGGCCTGTACCCCAGTTCTTGAATGTATATAAAAAAAAAAATCTTAAAAAAAAAAGAGATGTAAAAAGGTTATATGCTTTGACAATGTTCTTCTAAATACTATGTTCTTGGGCCTCCCCGGTGGCGCAGTGGTTGAGCGCTGGGTTGCGAAGCTGCCCGCGGCCTCTGTGGCACCTGTTCGATCCCCGGCTGCTCCCCAGCCACCAAAGGAGGGTCCCACATGGCGCGCAGACCTCTCCTGCCGCCCGCTGCTCCCCTCAGCAGTGTACTTCGGTCCTTCTGCCTGCTCTGCTCCCCACTCTGGCTCTGGTGAATTCTCTCACCCTCCCGCGCTTCTGACTGTACCCAGTGCATGTATAAACAAAACAAACAAACAAATAAATAAATCAATAAAACATGCCTCTATTAAAAATAAATAAATAAATAAATAAATAAATACTATGTTCTTCCAAATACTGTGCTCAGTGGTAGCACTTGAAAGTTGACTTCTTTTATATAAAACTAAGAGTTCAGTCATCCTTCTAAGGTATAAAGTGAGATATACACATAGCTAGGATTTCAGAATTTGGCATAAATGTGTAATTTTTTATTGGAAAGGATCTACTTGTAAAATTAAAACTGTTTAGTTAGGTAAAATAATTCTATAAAAACAGAAAGAATAGATGGATTTAACAATGAAATGGTATACAGGATTTTTTAAAAAAGCAGAATATCATAACTGGAATTTCCAATGTATAGGCCATAAACCACTGAAAGATCCAGAATAAATACAGAATTAAAAAGTCTGAAAATTTTTATGGTATCAACATTGTCTGCTGAATGAATACTATGTCTTTTTCTCACATATATGCAACAACACTACTTTAAAAGGAATACAGATGCTATTGTGATAACTCAACTATATATTCTCATCTTTTTTATTTATTTATTTATTTGTTTGTTTGTTTGTTTGTTTGTTTGTTTGTTTATACATGCACTGGGTACAGTCAGAAGCGCGGGAGGGTGAGAGAATTCACCAGAGCCAGAGTGGGGAGGAGAGCAGGCAGAAGGACCGAAGCGGGCGGCAGGAGAGGTCTGCGCACCATGTGGGACCCTCCTCCGGTGGCCGGGGAGCAGCCGGGGATCGAACCGGCGCCGCAGAGGCCGCGGGCTGCTTCACAACCCAGCGCTCAACCGCTGCGCCACCGGGGAGGCCCTATATTCTCATCTTTTATCAACAAATAATTAAAGTATAACTATCATGTTTCAATTTAAATTCCCAGTTTTATTGATATGCAATTTATATGTAATACTTGATACACATATGTATCAAATATATGTAATATTTGATACACATATATATGAACAGATTTCCAGAATAAGGTTAAGGAGCACATTTATTACCTTACAAACTATTATTTTTCTGTAGTGAGAACATGTAAGATCTACTCTTTGGTAATCTTCAAGTACATAATATTGTTAACTACAGTCATTTTAGAAGTGGAGGTTACACCCTTTGATTAACATCTCTCTGCTCTACACACTTAGCCCACATTCCTGGCAACCATTATTCTCTCTCTGTTTTTGTGAGCTCAACTTTTCTGAGATACTACATCTAAGTGAAATTATATAGTACTTATCTTTCTTGGTTCAACTTAACTAACTTAGCACAATACTTAGTTGTTGCAAATGGCAGGATTTCCTTCTTGTTTTGCAGCTAAATAATATGTCACTGTGTGTGTATGTGTCATATTTGCGTTATCTCTTCATCCGTCAATAGACACTTAGGTTGTTTTCATGCCCTGATTATTATGAATATCCGGGGTGTGGATATCTAAGACAGTGATTTCATGTTCTGTGGATATATATATATATATATATATATATACATATATATCTGAAGATATATATCTGGAGATACATACACACACATACATATACCCAACAGTGGGACTACTGGATCATATGGTAGTTTTACTTATAGTCTCACCAACAGTATACAAGTTACCAGGTGTACAGATATATCTGGCTCCCACTTGGTCCTGGAAAAGTTCCTGCCGGGTCGCTGGATAGGTCTGTTGGTTTGTGGGTGGGCAGGATTGGCCCTTGACTGTGGTTGAGTGGAGATGGAACTGAGCCCAAGGCTGCTTCAGGGTCTGTAGCCAAGATTCAGGTCTGCAGATATGGCTCTGGAGACACACACACGTCCTTCCTAGGTCTCTGGTTAGTGGCTGGTCCCCTGATAATGGTTGGAGCAGATTATGGGAACTTCTCTGGATATACTGACATACAGACATGAATATCTCCTACCAGGTCCTTGCACTCACTAGCCTGCACACAGACTGCAGCTAGGAGGAGCAAGGGCTAAGCATACAGCCCTTTCAGAATCTCTAGGGTTATAGACAGGTGTGTCTTCTGCTGGGTTCCTAAACTGTGGCTTTGAGGGGGCAGGAACCAAGCCCTTTCAGGATCTCTGGGAATTCTGAGCCAGCAGGGCACTTCATGCACTGTAGCTGGGACTGGTTGGAGTCAAGTTATAGTACCCTTTTAGCATCTATAGTCTGACTGAGTTTGGTGGGCTTACTTGCAGAGCTCACAGAAAGAGCCAAGAACTTTGGCCAAGAGGGATTAGAACTGGTTCTTGGGCCACTTCTGGGTCAGAGTGATGACCAAGTTTTGTATACCTATTACCTGGTACACAGGTGTGTCTGAGTCCTCCTAAGTTCTTGGCATATGCTGTTGATTATAGGACCAAGCTTGATGGGGCCATTGGCAAGTTCTCAGGGGTACGGGACTATGTCTATTTCTGCCACCAGAACCCTGACAAGCAAGTCAGGTGCCTAGGTGTGAGCCTGTCTTCTCAAAACAGCTCTCCTCAGTCCTCTATTGTTCTGAGTTTTTAGAATTTCCTAACTGGATCACAAAGCTCCATAAAGGTATTTTTGTCCATGGGCAAATGCCAAATAATAGTTGAGCAAGTGATATGTGGGACATCTTACTCATCTTGCTGAATTCACTACCAGTTCTAAAAGAGAGAATGATCATACACACAAAGTGGTCTTATAGCTTTAAATAACATTATATCAATTTTTATAGTATAGTTTAAAACTATAAAGTGTATAGATTAACCACTGTAATGTCTGAAGGTGGATTTTATTTTTGATGGGGGTTAAGGTCAAAACTATAATCTTTATAGAGAAATATGGCATATTGAGATTTTGGTTGAGGCCTCAGAAGTCTGTCAATGCTAGCTATCACAAGTATTTTCAATTGTAGAATCTTGAGTTGGTGAGAGGTCATTTTGAAATGCTAGTTTTTCAGGACAACCAATAATTTCCAAATTTAATATAATTTGGAAATAACCTATTCTAAAATTTTTTCAGAAGTGTCTTGTACTTTTAAAAAGGGCTGTACCTCACTTTCTTTATCTGGATGTTTTTCAACCCACATTCTTGGGAGATAGGCATCACACAAACCGATTGAGAGAGAAAATCCACTGCTGTCTAAGCAGCTACCATCCACAGTGCTGATGACAGCCTTGCAGTCTGTTCTCTACAAAACAAACAATGGTGACAATGAAGTAAATAATGGAGCAATAGTATATTATCAATTTGCATTTACCTGTTGAGTAGCAAATCCTTGCATAACTTACCTAACTTGAATAAGAATCAATAACATACTAATGAAATTATGAATTGGAGTTTTTAGAAGTGTGACCATTCTCATATCAGTTACCCTCCTAAATTTCTAAGGTTAATATATACAGTGTAATTTAGATAAGTTTGAGGCAATCTCAAATTGTATCTAAAAATTATACATCTATGTGTTTAGTTAGAATTATCTGGATTAGTAGAAAATAACTCAGAATATTTAATAAAAAATCTATACCTTATTTAAAATTGTATACCTTATTTAAAAATTGAATCTTCATAAATACAACTTCTAAAAATGTAGGTGATAAGCTTGAAAACAATAGCGGCAATGTGGTACATTGTATAATGGCCACAAAGGCTTTCCATTCCTGTGTGACACCCCTTTGCAATGACTTTCAGCACCTTCTGTCAGGAATCGGTATTTGCTTTTCTGTCCCTGAATCTATAGCTGGCTATGAGACTTGCCTTGGCCAATGGGCTACTGACAGATATAATGCATCCTGGGGTTTAAAAGTGTGCAATGGGGTTTAAAAGTGTGCAATGGGGTTTAAAAGTGTGCAGTGGGGTTTAAAAGTGTACAATGGGGTTTGCCCTCCAAATTGCTATGGACAACTCTTCCACCACTATGAGTAAACCTGATACAACTGCTAGATAATAAGAGATGTGTGGCCATCACGCCAGTTGACACCAGGCCAACAGTCACATATGTGAGTGAGACCATCCTCAACCACCTTAGCCAGCCCAGGCCAGAAATGCTCAATATACAAAGCTGTGATAAACAGCAAATAATGATTTTAAACCACAAAGTTTGGGGGTTATTATACAGCAAAAGCTATTTGATGCAGAGGGCCTCTTGCTTAGAATGCATTACATACATGTGTTTATTTCTATTCCCTAGCAAAATCCTAAAAGACCCTGCAAAAAAATGGGGGGGGGGGGTAACAAATCCATAAAGACATTGGGAATAGGAACAAAGCAAATGACAGAAGTAAACAAATTTTTAAAAGATACAAAGTTGATAGAGACAAGGTAAGTAACATAGCCAGAGTGGGGGAAGTCACTACCTGAGTTCTATGGAGGAAAAAAGACACCAGCAGGAGGCTCATTAGTCCTACAGAAAGTGGGAAGGCTCTACATGAGTATTTGTAGGAGACTGCAGTACTATTAATTGTGTAGCAAGCTGTCAACACTCCTTGCTCCCTCCCTGCCCTAACTAGCCAAGCTAGCACCAATAGCTAACACCTGGTTCTCTCACTAAAGGAAATAGAAACTTAGTTACTTAGAGGAATTCAACCAAATAGACTGCAGATTTGGGAATCTTAGGAATAAAGAAGTATAGGTGCACAGGGCTGCAAACAGGTGAAAGAAATGAAAGTCAGCATCCTAAAATGTAAGGTCCTTAACCTCACTCCCCAGTCATCCTTTAAGGATGCCTCAGAGGTTTTCTGAATAACCATAGAAGGGATAAAGCATGACCATGAGACTTCCAGAAATAGCCAGTTGCCTGCAGTCACCTCTAGTGCAGGACTCAGGCCCCTGGCCCCATTCACCTCAGAGCATCTAGATAGCTTTCTTGTGTCCTACCAAAAGATGAACACAGGTGCTGAAGTAATTTGCTCCTTAAAAAGAAAAACAGAGATGAACACAGATCACCTGACATGAAATATGGAGAACAAAAGAGTCAGAAGAAAAAAAAGAACTCAAATAAAGGGGATACAACACACAGAACAGAAGAAAAAATATACTATGAATATTTTCTGAGTATAACAGAGAGAAGATAGTACATCTACGAAACACACAAAGATGCCATTAAAAAAGTAATACTCATAGATCAGAAGAGTGTTTACAAACAAAAACCATGAGAACTGACCAAAAAATTCAGGATGGTTGAAATGTAAAATTGAGAAAATCAGCCAGAAAACAGAACAAAAAGACAGTAAGATGGGCAAAAAGAGAGAAAATGCATAACCAAAAGCTAAATACAAAGGACACGTGATTGAAAACATTCCAGACAGTAAAGGGGAGAGAAATAGCTTATTTAAAAAAAAAACCACAAAATTTCCCAGAACTAAAGACTACCAGTTACATATAATGAGCAAATATGACATAATTATGACATTCTAAATACCAGGATAAAGGGAAGATCTGAAATTCTTATAGAATTTAAAAATAAAACAAAACAAAAATTACATACAAAGGATGGTGGATAAGAATATTATTTAATTTTCAAAAGCAACACTAAACACTAGAAGAGAAGGTTTTCAATATTCCTGAGAGGCTCTCTCAGGATCTTTCAGACATTGCTGTCCAGACCCTCTTACTCAGAATCTTAATGGAGGTTGTACTCTGCCAATGGAGGGAATAAAACAATAATGAGAATGAAGAGAAAAAGCTGTGAAAGGAGAAAAGAAAAGGGAGGTCCAGGGTTAACGCTGCTTCAGTCCCCAAGGGCATATTAGAGTGGAGAGACAGGAGGAAAGACAGTGACCTCAGGAAAAAATGATGTATTAGAGAAAGCATTCAACAGTGTGAAAAAAGTATTGAGAAGGGTTTTAATTGACGTGTTAGTGGATATGAAGAGAAATATCCTAGAAAACAAAGAAAATGGAAAAGGCAATTTAAAGGAGAGGGCGGAGCAACATGGCGGCGAGGAGACGCTGCGAGTAAGATCTCCCATTAAAAAAAGTTAATAGGGAGGAAAAGCGGCAGGTCCCAGTGAGAACTGGGACACGGAAGATAAACGGGTGACTCCAGCAAACTACCCGAAGAAGAAAGTGGCCATAAAAGAGGACCAGAAGGGAGGGAAGCGCAGAACCCTGCTCCCCTCCCCCTCCCACAGAGGCGGCACTCTCCGACCAGCAGAAAGGAGGAAAACAACAAACTAAAACGACCAACAAGAACAAACTACGCAGCAAGCGGGACTGGGAGTGGAAAGGAACTATTGCAGCCACCACACCCAGTGAACGGGAGCTGTGGAGAACCCTGCAGGATTCGCTGCAGCGGTGAGCGAACGGCTCCTGGCGCCATTAGAGAACAAAGAGACTCTGGAGGAGACCTGCACACAGCACCGGGCCGCCGGTAAGCTTGCGCGGAAAAGCAGGGCGCTTGGCGCGCTTGAAAAGCAAACGCAGATCGGGATCGTGGCTGCCCAGGTCCCCGCGCCTGCGACCTAGGCTTGCGGGGAGACGCGCGGGGTCCCTCTGAGGTGAAAGTCCCTCACTGAGTAATCAGAAACCAGGCGCCCAGACAAGGGAGCGGTGCAAAAGGCGCCATTGCTGCAGCCACTGAACTGGGCTATAGCCCGCGTCCTGGACCTGAGGGCTTTGGAACTGAGACCCGGGACATGAAATTCGGAGCGTGGGTCCTCCACGTCGGTGGGGCACAAGCCAGACACAGCACCCCAAAGCCGTTGAGATTTCCCCTACCTTTCCTGCTCTGTTCCCTGTCCCACCGGGTGAAGAAAAACAGCCCCCCACGGACTAGGAGAGATCTCTGGCGCCACCTAGCGACCAGAAAAAAAAGTCAATAACACCCAGGGACCTTTCTTGAAACCTGCAGAAGGGTCCTGAAGGAACCCCTGGCCAGCTGAGAAGTTAGCCCACCCCAGGCCCCTTCAGACCAGCAGTCTGAGCCCACAGGGGGAGCGGGCACCCACAGCCAGGGCAGACCAGGTGCACAGAAGAGTGTGCCTGAGACTGGAAGTGCAGGGAGTGCGTCCCACATCACCATTTTAGAACAGGGATATTTCTTCAGGAAAGACTGCCTGCAGAAGGCTCCCACAGGAGCCAGAGGTGAGCGGGTAAGCTCGCCCACGCCAGGCCACTTCTGGCCTGCAGTCCAAACCCAGAGGGGGAGCGGGAACCCACCGCCGGGGCAGACCAAGCGCACAGGGGTGTGTGTCCCCAAATCGGCATTTTAGAACAGGGACCTTTCTTCAGTAAAGACTGCTTGAAACTGACAGATGGCTCCTGGAGGAGCTAGAGGGGAGCAGAGAAGCTCACCCAAGATGCCGGCCAGTCCCAGCAACACAGTGTCCCAATGCATACGACAAATTAGAAAACAGACAGTAGGGAGTAGAAGAACCACATGCAACCTAACAACTCCTTAGGAAAAAAGCACACCACAAAAAGAAAACCACCCCCCAGATTGCAACGACAGTAACTTGGAAGAACTTCTGAGCCTTCCAGAAAGAGAATTTAAAATTGCCATGATTAAAAAAATGACAGAACTCATAAAGGAAAACAATGATCAAAAGAAGGAAATTGAGTCCCTAAAGAGGGAAAACAATGGTCAGAAGAATGAAATTGAGTCCCTAAAGAGGGAAGTAAAAGAAACGCAGGAGATCAAAGAATTAATGGAAGAACTAAAGAACTCTGGGAAAAGCAATGAAAGCAGAATAGATGAAATGGAAGAACGAATAAGTACTCTAGAAGACACAGAAATAAAAAGAACCAAAACAGAAAAGGAAAGAGAAGTACGAAGGAAAAAGAATGAAGAAAGACTTCGGGAACTATCTGACTCCATGAGGAGAGGAAATATAAGAGTTATAGGAATTTCAGAAGGAGAGGAGAGAGATGTAGGAACAGAGAAAATATTCCAGGAGATAATTGAAGAGAACTTCCCAAATGTGAAGAAGGAGCTGAAAATTGATGTACAAGAAGCAAGAAGAACACCAAACTTCCACGACAAAAGGAAAAATACAGCAAGACACATAATAGTAAAGCTCCCAAGAATCCAGGACAAAGAAAAAATAATGAAGCTGACAAGAGGGAAGTAACAGATAACATTCAAAGGAAAACCAATCAGGCTGACATCAGACTTCTCTGAAGAAACACTACGGGCAAGGAGAGAGTGGAGGGACATAGTCAACAGACTCCAAGAAAACAGATGCCAACAAAGAATACTCTATCCCGCAAAGCTCTCCTTCCTCTATGAAGAAAGAATAAGGACCTTCCCAGACAAACAGAAACTCTGGAATTTCATTACGACTAAACCCCCACTCCAAAAAATACTACAAGGAACCCTAACGCCAGAACCTCAGAGGGACGAATAACAACGAAAGAAGGCCAAAAAAAAAAAGTTATTAAAAGAATAAATAAATAAAATCAAAGGAAAGACAAACACAATGGCAAATACAGATACTAACATATCAATATTAACTCTAAATGTAAATGGACTAAACTCTTCAATAAAAAGACACAGAGTCGCAGGATGGATTAAGAAACAAATCCCAACCTTTTGCTGTCTCCAGGAAACACATTTAGCTACAAAAGATAAAAATAGGCTCAAAGTTAAAGGATGGAAAACAATCCTACAAGCAAATGGACCAAAAAAGAAAGCAGGAACAGCTATACTTATATCAGATAAAACAGACTTCAAACTCAAAAAAATAAAAAGAGACCCCAAAGGTCACTACATTATGATCAAGGGGACAATACTTCAAGAAGAAATAACACTCATTAACATATACTCACCAAACGAAGGAGCACCAAAATATATCAGACAACTGTTGTCCTCTCTGAAAACAGACATCAGAGAAAACACATACGTAGTGGGAGACTTCAACACACCACTATCAACAATGGATAGATCAACAAGACAAAAAATAAGTAAAGAAACTAAAGCTCTAAATAAGGACCTAGAGCAATTGGGCTTAACAGACATCTATAGAACACTAAACCCCCAAAAAACGGAGTACACATTTTTCTCAAGCGCACACGGATCATTCTCCAGGATCAATCACATACTGGGACACCAGACAAACATCAACAGATACACCAAGATTGAAATCATACCAACCATCTTTTCTGACCATGAAGGCATCAAACTAGAAATAAACCATAAAAAGAAGGCAAGGAACTTTCCTACCTCATGGAGATTAAAAACCACACTACTGGAAGACCACTGGACTAATGAGGAGATCAAAGAAGAAATTAAAAAATTCTTTGAATTGAATGATAAGGAGGACACCAATATCCTAAATGTATGGGATGCAGCAAAAGCAGCAATAAGAGGAAAATATATAGCAATAGAAGCTCACATCAAGAAACAAGAAAGAACTCAAAAGAAACAATCTAATCTCGAAGCTCAAAGATCTAGAAAAAGAACAACAAAAAAAAACCCAAAACCAGTACAAGAAAAGAAATAATAAAAACCAAAGCAGAAATAAATGAAATTGAAACTAAAAAAACAATCCAAAAGATCAATGAAACCAAGAGCTGGTTCTTTGAAAAAATCAATAAAATAGACAAACCCCTAGCCAGGCTCACAAAGGAAAAAAGGGAGAAAGCACAAATAAATAGGATCATAAATGAAAGAGGAGAAATCACAACGGACACAGCAGAAATCAAAAGAATAATCACTAACTACTATGAACAGTTATATGGAAACAAGTTCAACAATCTAGAGGAGATGGAAAAATTCCTACAACTCTACAATCACCCAAAGCTAGATAAAGAAGAAATAGAACACCTAAACAGACCAATTACAAGCAGCAAAATTGAAATGGTAATCAAAAACCTCCCCAAAAACAAAAGCCCAGGACCTGATGGATTTATAAATGAATTCTACCAAACATTCAGAGACTAATTAGTGCCTGTCCTTCACAAACTCTTCCAAAAAGTTGAGAAGGGACAATACCAAACACGTTCTCTGAAGCCAACATTACACTAATACCAAAACCGAACAAGGACAACACAAAAAAGGAAAACTACAGGCCAATCTCCCTAATGAACACTGATGCAAAAATCCTCAATAAAATTTTAGCTATCAGAATCCAACAATGTATCCATAAGATAATTCACCACGGCCAAGTAGGATTCATTCCAGGGACACAAGGATGGTTTAACATCTGAAAATCAATCAACGTTATCCAACACATCAACAAAAAGAAATATAAAAACCATATGATAATAGATGCTGAGAAAGCTTTCGACAAAGTGCAACACCCATTCATGATAAAAGCCCTTGAAATTCTTGGGATACAAGGAATGTACCTCAACATCATAAAGGCCATATATGACAAGCCAACAGCCAGTATCATTCTCAATGGTGAAAAGCTGAAAGCAATTCCATTAAGATCTGGAACAAAACAAGGATGTCCACTTTCACCACTGCTTTTCAATATAATACTGGAAGTCCTAGCCAGAGCAATAAGACAAGAGAAAGACATCCAAGGAATCCAAATAGGAAAAGAAGAAGTCAAACTATCACTATTTGCAGATGATATGATAATATACATAGATAACCCCAAAAACTCCACAGAAAAACTATTTCAACTCATCAATCAGTTCAGTAAAGTGGCAGGATACAAAATCAACACGCAAAAGTCAGTAGCCTTCCTATACACAAACAATAAATCTGAAGAAGAAATAAAAAAAAACCATCCCTTTTATTATTGAAACAAAAAAAAAATCAAATATTAGGGAATAAATCTAACAAAAGAGGTAAAGGACCTATACAAAGAAAACTATAAAACACTGTTAAAAGAAATAGAAGACACAAAGAAATGGAAAAACATTCCCTCGTCATGGATTGGGAGAATAAACATTATTAAAATGGCCATCCTACCAAAAGCAATATACAGATTCAATGCTATTCCAATCAAAATTTCAATGTCATTCTTCAAAGAAATAGAACAATTATTGATGAAATTCATATGGAATCACAAAAAACCCCGAATAGCCAAAGCTCTCCTGAAAAAAAAAAGAAGGGAATGGAGGCATCACACTCCCAGACTTCAAACTCTACTACAAAGCCATAATCATCAAAACTGCATGGTATTGGAACAAGAACAGACATACAGACCAATGGAATCGAATAGAAAATCCAGAAATAAACCCACAGATTTATGGTCAACTAATATTTGACAAAGGAGCAAAGACTATGCATTGGAGCAAAGAAAGTTTGTTCAATAAATGGTGCTGGAAAAACTGGGTCGCTACATGCAAAAGAATGAAGCTTGACCACTACCTCACACCATACACAAAAACCAACTCAAAATGGATTAAAGAACTAGACATAAGACCTGAAACCATAAAATACATAGAAGGAAATATAGGCGAAACACTGTGTGATTTGCACATCAAAGACATCTTTACAGACACATCACCCAAAGCAGTGATAGTGAAGGCAAAGATCAACAGCTGGGACTACATCAAATTAAAGAGCTTCTGCACAGCTAAAGAGACAATAACAAAAACAAAGAGAAACCCCACCAACTGGGAGAACATTTTTGCACACAACACTAATGATAAAGGACTGATCACAAAAATCTGCAAAGAGCTGATGAGACTCAACAACAACAAAGAAAATAATCCAGTCAAAAAATGGGTAGAAGAGCTAAAAAGAAACTTCTCTGAAGAGGAAATGCAAATGGCCAACAGGCATATGAAAAAATGTTCAACATCACTTGTAATCAGGGAAATGCAAATCAAAACTACCATGAGATACCATCTTACACCAGTGAGAATGGCACATATTAAAAAAACTAGCAACAAAAAATGTTGGCGAGGATGTGGAGAAAAAGGAACTTTTCTGCACTGTTGGTGGGAGTGCAAACTGGTCTAACCACTATGGAGAGCTGTGTGGAGATTTCTGGACCTACTAAACATAGAGCTTCCACAGGATCCAGCAATTCCACTCCTAGGTATTTACCCAAAGGACACAGAAACATCAATTCCAAAGAGCACCTGCACCCCTATGTTTATAGCAGCACTATTTACAATAGCTAAGCTTTGGAAACAGCCCAAATGCCCAAAAATAGATGACTGGATCAAGAAGATGTGGTACATATATACCATGGAATATTACTCAGCATTCAAAAAATATAAACACATGCAATTTGCAGCAACATGGATGGCGCTGGAAGGGATCATGCTCAGTGAAATAAGCCAAAAAGAAAAAGAAAAATACCAGATGGTCTCACTCATAGCAGGAATCTAGAAAACTTAAATAAGGAACCAGGAAAATGAATAACTATAAGAAAGTGAAAATCAAAATCAACAAAAAACTATGAACCAGAGACACTTTTTGGGGGTGGGGGGAGGGAGGGGAGGGATTGGGGTCAGAATGGGGGGATTGCAATTGTATGGGGAATATAAAAATAAAATTTATTAATTAAAAAAAATAAAACCATGGAAAAAAATAAAAAGAAAAGGCAATTTAAAGAAATATTATACAAAAAGGTTACAAAAAAAGGAAAGAGCATGTCATAGTAACACATTTCTGGGTTCAATGGTAAACCACAGTCATAATAATTTAAACACTGACTAGTAATCTAATCAGACATTGTAATGTATGTTTTCAAATGAAGGGGAGAGAAAAAGTTGGGAGAGGTCAGTGAGGGGATACGTCAATCAAATTTTCATCTACCGTAATGGAAGTCAAAGGATAATTTCTAAAATAGATGACTCAAGGCGAAAGAATAAAAAAAAAAGTACTATTTAAAACTTTGCAGTAGAAAATAATTAAAATACTTAATGTGGTTCACCATCTCCAGACTCTGGCTTGGGGGGGTGTCAAGGTGAAACAAAGATGTTATTATTAATATTACTTAACATTTTAAACCCTGTACATGTATTGATTTGATAAAATAAAATTAGTGTTAAAATAAGAATTCAAGAGAAAGGCAAATATTTACTAACCTTTTGCTTCAGTTCATGTGTATCACTAGAAATGAATTCAATCATATATGGCATCTCAATAGACATGCTCAAAGAGAAGCTATCAAAAATGAAGAGAAAGTTGTCTTAGTCTAGTATCTTAAATTTTAAACAACCACTTGTAATTTTTTCATATAATTTTAAATGAAAATTAAACTATATGTCTAAATAACCATTGAATTATTGACTTTTTTATATTTTTTATATTTCCCATACTAACCTTTGCTCTTTTCCTATTTCCTTTATACAAATCTTCTCTACTGTATCCTGTTAAAAGAGAATTATATATTATAATTAAGTACCCATTAAGTTTCACATAGAAACTGTAGGCTGAATGCAATGTCACCAAGGCCAGTGCCTACAGGAGCAACAAGACAACTGGGTTCAGTTGAGAGTAGTGAGGTATAGAGCTTTTGTTCATGAAATGACAGTAACATATAAAAGGTCTTCCTGGTGGCGCAAGGGGTTAAGCACTGCACTACGAAGCAATCTGCAGTCTCTGAAGCACGAGTTCGATCCCCGGCCGGCCAGAGAAAAACCCACATGGCGCAGCAGACCTCTCCTGACTCACCCGCTGCTCCCCTCAGCAATGTACTTAGGTCAATCTGCCTGTTTTGCTCCCCACTCTGTCTCTGGTGAATCCTCTCACCTCCCGCATCTCTGGCCTGTACCCCAGCTCTTGTATGTATAAATAAATAAATCTTTAAAAAATACATAAAAGGTGTATACATATACATACACATATATACACATATGACACACACACACAATTTGTATAAATACATGCAAAGTAGAAAATCTCAAAGAATATACACCAAAGTATCAGCATAGCTTTGGGTTACTATATCTAGTGATGGAATTAAGGATGGTTTCAATATCCCTCTTAGACTTAATTGCCTTCTTTACCTTTATGTAAATTATGCATGATGACTATGCAGTATAGACACAATTTTTAAAAAATAAAATATTTAGAAGTGTCATAACAGAATAAAAAATACCCATTGAACCTACCTGTCTTTATTCATTTCACAAACATTATTATATGTGTCTACATATGGCAGTAAAATCAACTTTTTTAAAAAAGATTATTTTAGATAGCTTTTCTTCCCCATGCACAAATAACACACACAAAAAGCTTCTTTAAATCTTTTCTTAAAGATACAAACCTGAAGATTTTCATTCAAAGCTTTATCCTGTTGCCAGGGCGCTACCGTGGCTGGCATGAAGAAGACAGCAACAGTGCCTCGCATGCTGAGTTCTGTGATGTAGGTGATTTTGATAAGAACCTTTGCCTTGGGGGGTAAGTTTCCAACACTTACAGTAAAAACATCCTGCAAGAAACATATTACTTAGCTTTTCACTCAAAAGCATATACATCCCATGGTAGTTTATCTCTCTTATGACATAAACCATTTGAAACACATTCTGTCAGCCACTCCCATTTAGCGGGGATGATGTCAGTCTGCGAAGACACAGGGAGAGAAGGCCCCTAGCAGTAGGACCCTGCTCTGGGGGAATGTCACTATGTCATCTCCCCACCAGAAGCTGGGGCTCTGCCACTAGGACAACCTCCACATGGTCCCCTTTGGAAGACCCTTTCTGACCTCTGCAGCAACCAACACTGATTCCGCCAGAACTGTTCAGCTATAGCACACTTCACTAAGCTTAGCTTTGCACTCTACAGTGGATTCAGCATTTTGTTTTCAAAAAGGTATTTTGTTTCTTTTATTCATTTTTTTAAAGATTTATTTATTTATGTACACAAGAACTGGGGTACAGGCCAGAGGTGTGGGAGGGTGAGAGGATTCACCAGAGACAGCTGGGAGCAGAGCAGGCAGAGAGACTGAAAACACTGCTGAGGGGAGCAGTGGGTGAGACAGGAGAGGTCTGCTGCTCCATGTGGGTATCTCCCTGGCTGGCTGGAGATGGAACCGGTGCTGCAGAGGCTGCAGACGGCTTCACAGTGCTGTGCCCAACCCCCTGTGCCACTAGGGAGGCCCTATTTTGTTTCTTTTAATGAGGTACTGAGGATTGCATAAGTGACCTTAAAGACTACATGGCAGGAAAGGGCCTCCTTTGTGGCGCAAGGGGTTTACTCTCAGCACTATAAAGCTATCTGCAGCTACTGCCACAAGTTGGATCCCTGGCTGGAAGGTCACCCACATGTTGCAGCAGACTCAGTGGATCTGTCTGTTTTGCTCCCCACTCTGTTTCTGGTGAATCCTCTCACCCTCACCCTGCACCTCTGGCTCCGGTATGCATAAATAAAATAAATGTCAAAAAAAGATTATGGCAGGAAAAAAGAGGTGGAGGCTAGATGTACTTTTCCTAATACAAAGAAATTCTCATAGCATCAACAATCATATTGACCATTCTATATAACCAGGCTGCTACGAAAAGTTAATACGTTCAGATTAGGAGTGCAGAGTACTAATGATACATATAGGTGTAAGGGGTAAATGATTGCTCTTGAGATCACAAGTAACTATTTGCACAGTTGTAACCTTTTCCTTAAGTGTATAAAGGGTTCATTTAAGAGACTGCAATTGAATAGGATAGGGCTGCAGTTGTTTCTTTGCTGGATATAGACAGATACAATATAATGTTACTTCCCCTGTAGCAAGTTGGATAATCTACAAAATCATAACTTGACTTGAACTTGTCAGAACGCTGTGTTGTAAGGCAACCAAGTGAACTGAATTCCAAGACAAACCCCTCTGAAGACAAACGGGATAAGGAAACTGCGTGGATTTCTACAGGCTGAGAGTGGGCTAGAACTTCAGTTCAGAATGCGCGGACCCCTGACACAGGAGGGTTGGCACTCACACAGAATATTTTCTCCAGGTGCCAGGCACTCTGTCCAGCCTGGGTTTTGGCAGTAATATTTTCTCTTTATTTTCCCATTAACTCTTTAACCTTTTCTGTCCCTTACCTGCTTAAATATTGGGTTTATAAGCTCAATCTCTATCTTTACAAATATTAATTAAGAGTTACAGGACAGATATGTATTGGTTGCCATGACAGTCGAAGGCAATGGCACCAGCCTTTCCTGAGGGATGGTGGGAAAAGTGTTAGTTTTTTTCTTGAATGCAGAGATACTCAAGCTGAGATTTAAAAAAGAATTTTTTTTAAAAATCAAGCAAGCAAACGAAATTAGACTATCCCAACTAGAAGAACAAATGGTATTGTCTTGGGGAAAGAATAGTATGATGAGATTGAAAAAGCAACCACGCCAGGTCCTATAGGGTCTTCCACACCTTATTAAAGAGCCAGGGCATAATGATGGACCCTCAATTGAAGCAGTGGTTTCAGGAAAGGTGATGACATGCGTAGATTCCACAGATAGATAGCTGGAAACTTCAACAGACCATTAGCAGGATACGTGCAACAGAGGAGAGAGAAAGGAAATGAAGGATGCCTCCCAGATTTGCTACTTGGCTGACTGGGTAAATGTTGATGCCATTATTGAGATAAAGGCCACAGGAGGAGGAAGCAGTTTGTAGGGGAAGGAAATGAGGTAAATTTTAGACTTATTACCTAATAAGTATTGCGCTTTATTTTTTGTAGTTATGCTTTAAATTATTATTTAAATGAACACCTTGTCTTGTTCCTTTTAACCTGACTTCAAAATGTATTAAAAATTAGTTTATGTATTTACTCAAGTGAACAAATCATAAATTTGAGTTTATTATTCTAGGCAAAAACTTTTATTTACCTAAAAAAAAAAACAAACTAATTCTTTATTGTGTCTTAACCCAAGCAATCTTAGGGAAAAGGCTACATAATCTTAAAGTGCTTTTTTAAATTTTTTTAAAAGGTTTATTTATTTATACAAGAACTGGGGTACAGGCCAGAGGTGTGGGAGGATGAGAGAATTCACCAGAGATAGAGCAGGGAGCAGAACAGGCAGACGACCAAAAACAATGATGAGGGGAGCAGCGGGTGAGACAGGAGAGGTCTGTCGCACCATGTGTGTATCTCCCTGGCTGGTCAGGAATCTAACCGGCGCTGCAGAGGCTGTGGACAGCTTCACAGCACTGTACTCAATGTGCTGCGCCATGGGGGAGGCCCAAGGCTACATAATTTTAAATTAGACTTAAATTTTCTTAGTGTGTTAGGCTGCTTTCCCTAGGAATAGCAGCTCATTCTTTCCTTCATCCTGCTTTTCATCCAACACTTCAAGGTGAGTGTTCGAGAGATTCATCCTTAGACAATGTCTCCATGACATCTTAGAGAAACCCATGATGATTCCAACATTTCATATCCAATGTATTCCTCTCTCCTGTGCTCCTGACCACATATCCAACTGCCTCAGAAGCCTGTGCCCACAGTGTTTCATCAGTCTGTTAAACCTCTTATGTCCTCCTGCTCTCACTATTTCCATGCCTACATGGAATCTGCTCCTTTCAAATCCCTAATTTGATAACTGCTCCCACACCAGAATTGTCCAAGTATTATTTTTGACAACTGTCTCTGCCATACCTCCACACCCTCTCTTTAACCACAGTTGTACAATCCACCCTGACATCTGTTGCATCCTCTCCATTTTCATTATGACTACCTTAGTTGAGGTCCTCATTATACCTTTTTCCAAGATACCACATGAGTCACCAAAATAGTGCTGCTATGTGTCCCCTCAGAATTCAAACTTCAAATATTGAAACCGTAACACCCAATGGGAGAGTGTCAGGATGCAGGGCCTTTGGGAAGTAACTGGAGATGGGAAGTTGGAGCTCTCATGCTAGGGATCACGTCTATACGGGAAGCAAAAGAGACTAGTGTTCCCTCTTTCCACTGTTAGGAACCAGAAAAGGTTCTCACCAAAACTCACCCTGATCTTGGATTTACCAGCCGCTATTAGATTGCTGGAAAAGTCATGATGTATTTTTCATGTTTTTCAAAGATTTTTTTTTTATATAAAGAACAAAGATCAATCTATGATATATTGCTTGTTTTATTCAATAACCTTTTGCCATCTTTAAATGAACTTCATAATTCCTTGTTCATAGAAGGACCTGTGTTTATTGGCGAAAAACTGAACAAGGTGCTGATTTACAGCCTCATCTGAATTGAAAGTTATATTTCGCAAAGAGTTTTGAAGAGAGTAAAACAGGTGGAAGTCTGATGGGGCAAGGTCAGGTAAGCAATGTGGATGTGGCAACACATCCCATCCAAGCTCCAATATTTTTTTAAAAGATTTTTTTATTTATGCATACAAGAGCTGGGGTACAGGCCAGAGATGCAGGGGGTGAGAGGATTCACCAGAGACAGTGGGGAACAGAACAGGCAGATTGACTGAAATACATTAATGAGGGGAGCAGTGGGCGAGTCAAAGGGGTCTGCTGCACCATGTGGATTGCTCCCTGCCTGGCCGGGGATTGAACTCATGCTGCAGAGGCTGCGGATTGCTTCATAGTGCAGTGCTTAACCCCTTGTGCCACCAAGGAGGCCCTCCAATAATTTTTTTTTTTTTTTTTAAGAGGCATGTTTTTATTTATTTATTTGTTTGTTTGTTTGTTTGTTCGTTTACACATGCACTGGGTATAGTCAGAAGCGTGGGAGGGTGAGAGAATTCACCAGAGTCAGAGCGGGGAGCAGAGCAGGCAGAAGGACCGAAGTACACTGCTGAGGGGAGCAGCGGGCGGCAGGAGAGGACTGCGCGCCATGTGGGACCCTCCTCCTGTGGCCGGGGAGCAGCCAGGGATCGAACCGGCGTCGCAGAGGCTGCGGGCAGCTTCGCAACCCAGCGCTCAACCGCTGCGCCACCAGGGAGGCCCATCAAGGAGGCCCTCCAATAATTTTTGATGGGTGATCAAACCTGCGTGTGGTCTCATGTTGTCATGATGGAACACAACTCCTTTAAGATTAACATGCTCTGGACATTTCTGGACGATGGATTCATTCAAACTGTCCAGTTGACAACAGTACACATTAGAATTGATTGGTTGGTTCCTTGGTAGGAACTTGAAAAACATGACACCTTTAAAATACCACCACACTGAGAGCACAGCCTTCCTCTGATGAATGTCTTCTTTTGATGTTGTTTGAGGCAAACCATCACATCACATCAGGACCAAGACCATTTGCGCACCATTGTAAACAATCCACTTCTCATCACCAGCTTTTAGTCCCTTCAAAAAGGGATAATTTTCCTCATGTTTATTTTTTTTTTTGAAACATTTCATTGGCTATTTATTAAGTTACATTCTTTGAGGATCATAATTAGGCATAATGTACTGAAACTGAGGTGTTGGAGGCTAAGTAAAGAGAGAAAAGGTTTGGAGGTATGTAAAGCTCTTAAGAGTCCATACCAAAGGTTTCCAGCATCTCA